TGGCTCTTACTAGCCCGCGATTATTTGCATTTGTAAGATATCTTAATTTCATAGAAAAATAAGTTTTCTATGAAACTGACGCACTGCCATCCGCGTTCTGGCTCTTACTAGCCCGCGATTATTTGCATTTGTAAGATATCTTAATTTCATAGAAAAATAAGTTTTCTATGAAACTGACGCACTGCCATCCGCGTTCTGGCTCTTACTAGCCCGCGATTATTTGCATTTGTAAGATATCTTAATTTCATAGAAAAATAAGTTTTCTATGAAACTGACGCACTGCCATCCGCGTTCTGGCTCTTACTAGCCCGCGATTATTTGCATTTGTAAGATATCTTAATTTCATAGAAAAATAAGTTTTCTATGAAACTGACGCACTGCCATCCGCGTTCTGGCTCTTACTAGCCCGCGATTATTTGCATTTGTAAGATATCTTAATTTCATAGAAAAATAAGTTTTCTATGAAACTGACGCACTGCCATCCGCGTTCTGGCTCTTACTAGCCCGCGATTATTTGCATTTGTAAGATATCTTAATTTCATAGAAAAATAAGTTTTCTATGAAACTGACGCACTGCCATCCGCGTTCTGGCTCTTACTAGCCCGCGATTATTTGCATTTGTAAGATATCTTAATTTCATAGAAAAATAAGTTTTCTATGAAACTGACGCACTGCCATCCGCGTTCTGGCTCTTACTAGCCCGCGATTATTTGCATTTGTAAGATATCTTAATTTCATAGAAAAATAAGTTTTCTATGAAACTGACGCACTGCCATCCGCGTTCTGGCTCTTACTAGCCCGCGATTATTTGCATTTGTAAGATATCTTAATTTCATAGAAAAATAAGTTTTCTATGAAACTGACGCACTGCCATCCGCGTTCTGGCTCTTACTAGCCCGCGATTATTTGCATTTGTAAGATATCTTAATTTCATAGAAAAATAAGTTTTCTATGAAACTGACGCACTGCCATCCGCGTTCTGGCTCTTACTAGCCCGCGATTATTTGCATTTGTAAGATATCTTAATTTCATAGAAAAATAAGTTTTCTATGAAACTGACGCACTGCCATCCGCGTTCTGGCTCTTACTAGCCCGCGATTATTTGCATTTGTAAGATATCTTAATTTCATAGAAAAATAAGTTTTCTATGAAACTGACGCACTGCCATCCGCGTTCTGGCTCTTACTAGCCCGCGATTATTTGCATTTGTAAGATATCTTAATTTCATAGAAAAATAAGTTTTCTATGAAACTGACGCACTGCCATCCGCGTTCTGGCTCTTACTAGCCCGCGATTATTTGCATTTGTAAGATATCTTAATTTCATAGAAAAATAAGTTTTCTATGAAACTGACGCACTGCCATCCGCGTTCTGGCTCTTACTAGCCCGCGATTATTTGCATTTGTAAGATATCTTAATTTCATAGAAAAATAAGTTTTCTATGAAACTGACGCACTGCCATCCGCGTTCTGGCTCTTACTAGCCCGCGATTATTTGCATTTGTAAGATATCTTAATTTCATAGAAAAATAAGTTTTCTATGAAACTGACGCACTGCCATCCGCGTTCTGGCTCTTACTAGCCCGCGATTATTTGCATTTGTAAGATATCTTAATTTCATAGAAAAATAAGTTTTCTATGAAACTGACGCACTGCCATCCGCGTTCTGGCTCTTACTAGCCCGCGATTATTTGCATTTGTAAGATATCTTAATTTCATAGAAAAATAAGTTTTCTATGAAACTGACGCACTGCCATCCGCGTTCTGGCTCTTACTAGCCCGCGATTATTTGCATTTGTAAGATATCTTAATTTCATAGAAAAATAAGTTTTCTATGAAACTGACGCACTGCCATCCGCGTTCTGGCTCTTACTAGCCCGCGATTATTTGCATTTGTAAGATATCTTAATTTCATAGAAAAATAAGTTTTCTATGAAACTGACGCACTGCCATCCGCGTTCTGGCTCTTACTAGCCCGCGATTATTTGCATTTGTAAGATATCTTAATTTCATAGAAAAATAAGTTTTCTATGAAACTGACGCACTGCCATCCGCGTTCTGGCTCTTACTAGCCCGCGATTATTTGAATTTGTGAGTTCACTCGAGAGCCTAATTTCTTAAATTTGTAAGATATCTTATTTATCATAATATATTCTCTCTCTCCCACTCCTCCCCCCTCTTCCACTCTCTTTCTCCCTCTCCCCTCTTCACTCTTCCCCTTTTAAAATAAAGTTATGCTAACTATAAATCATATTAAAATAAAAAAAATAACGTTCTAAGTATAATTTAAAATAATTTCACTAGTTTCAGCAATAATCGTATAGAAAATTTATGTATATATTAATATTCTATATTAAATACAAACTGAATCAAAATTTGCATATTACGAAAAAAAAATTTTTTTTAATAATTATTTTATTTTATGTTTATTTTCCAGGAAATCTTTAAAATGGATTTTAACTTGTAAACAATTTTTAAATTTTTAATATAAAAATATTTGTATATGAAAGTAAAAGACAGCTACTTGTAATATTAAATATTATACAGGGTGTCCGACAAGTAAGTGACCAAACGAAAGGTAGAGGTAGATTGGATCAAACTGAGTCGAAAAGTCCTGAACCATTTTCTTTTATAACGTTTAATAAAGGAATTATTATTGAGTAAAGTCTGGCCAATCAGCGCCAACCTTTAGCCGGGCGCACGTCGGTGAGTCGCGCGCCGTGAAGTGTGTGCCGCCGCAACTACCAGGCGCGCGGCTCAGCAACGTGCGCCTGGCTAAAGGTCGACGCTGATTGGCCTGATTTTACTCAATAATAACTCCTTTATTAAGCATTATAAAAAATAGGTTCAGGATTTTTCGACTCAGTTTGACCCAATCTACCTCCATCTTTCGTTCGGTCACTTACTTGTCGGACACCCTGTATATAAATACCTATTTATATAAATATTTATACAATTATACAAAAATAAAATTAAGTAAAATATTACAATTAATTTTTTCTTGGTTAATGCGCAACATTTGAAATTCATATACGAATCACCATATATTATATACAATATATTATAGATTCGCTATATACTGATTTAAAAAAAATCAAAGTTTCGATAAAACTATTATGTACAATATCGAATGCACTTTGGAAATTTTCCGCTATTTTTTTTATATTTACCACGAAAATTCGGTGCCATATCACATTGTGAAAACAATAAAATAAATTTATCTGCTAAAGTATCTCCAGCTGCGAGTTACGATTAAAAGATCGACACCAGGGATCCGCCCAGGCCATGTCCCGAATTCTCAGTTCTTGGCAAGGCTCAGTTCTTGGCCCGTAAGGTATTACGGAAACTCTAGAAAGATCTGGCGGATCTAGCCATACTCAAGAGAACTAACCACTAGGATACGCCTCAATACCGAGCAAAATGCGATCCCTCGAAAATTTCTTCTTCGAATTTATGCTTATCGTAAACATCGCCACAAACATAAACTAATCGGGAATAAAATGTTCTCATTGTATTATGTGACCCTGAATAGAATAAGATAAGTAGATTTCGTGTAGATATTGCATAATTAATGAATAGATTATTAGCTTTGTAGCAATAATTTACAGTCTCACTATTCGACACTAATTCTGTTTTAAATCGTAAAAAAAGTAAAATCTTTTGATATAATAGAATAATTACAAGAGAGTGTTTCAAAAACTCATATTGCATGTGTATGAATAAAGAGTCAAAATTTCGTAGCTTGTAAATACTATAAATTTTTGCTAATATTTTTGCTACATAAGTATCATCAAATGTTATCTATTAGCATGTGCTCTAGTTATATAGTTCGATAAGCGAAAGAAGGGAGGTATATGGAAAAAAGGACAGAGTGATATATAGCAGCTATATATACGTAGGGGCTTGCATGCGCTGGGAAACTTTATGGGGGCCCCTGAGTATATTTCCTGATTGAGCGAACTAATCCACGCAAAGGAGGTTTTATCGTCGAGGTATACGCAATCGAGGGGTCTCGTCTGCGCGGATGTCATATCGAGTGAGAACGTTCGATTAAGACGGAGCAATATCCATGTCGATGGAACGCATTTCTTTCAAGATCTATTCGAGAATATCGACACATGATATTAATTTACTTATGCGGATATCAATGTTTATTTCTAGAAACAAAACGAAATTTCAATACATTTTTTCAGACATAAATAAAATGTATATACAGAGTGATTCAGAACGAGTGTATAACAAACTTTGACAGATTGTTTAGAAAATCATTCTGATTGCGAGTACAAAATGTCCATATGAGCTTAAATACTATTCTCAATACTACAAAATTTTGTCTAACCTAACCTAACCTAACCTAACCTAAACAACATTTTTGGGGTCACACTAGCGCAAGCTTCGTAGAAAGAATTAATAAGTGTTTAGATGAAAATGGACAATAGTTGGTTAACATTTAATAAAGTAAAAAAAATAGAAAAATTATGGTTTTCCATTTAATTTATGTTTTTATCATTAGTGTGAATGCACTCAGCTTTAAAGTTTAAATACTTATAACTTTTGATAGAAGCATTTTTCAACAAATGTTTCAGATAAAATTTACTTGTTTTTTTCCATAAAATCCAGATATGTAATATTTTATAGAAGATACTATTTGATATTATAAAGTTACCCCCAGCCCCCTTTGAAGGAGGAGCGGGAGCGACTTTATGTATAGTTAGAAAGGCCCCTCAAATACATAAAACTCTCTCATGAACAACTTTTTGATTCGACAAATATTTTTAGAGTTAAACAGAATATAATAAATCGGGACAATATATATAAATCCAGCAAAAAAGAAACATACTTTACATAAACCGCGATATTTTTTATTCGATATATAATTAGATTATTCCACACTCATATTCCTTTCTTTATAAATTAGCCTTTTCTCAGAATAGATGCAAAATATTTAAAAAAGTATATACAGAATTGGAGAGACCAAGATTGAGAGAGCTAAAACAATAATTTAAAACATTATTATGTGATTTTAATACTATAGAGACAATTCAAGCGTATAATTATTTTTATTTACATAACAGTACTGTTTTGGATTAATATACAATATTAATATAGTGTGAGGTGTGCAAAATTGAAATAATCATCGATTAGTACGATTAACAATGTATATATATATGTATATATATAAGGAAAGCAATTTTTATACTAACAAACCATACGCAAAGAAGAAAAGTATACAGCACTTCAACACTAGTATTTGTCCTAATTAATAATTCTTACATATTTCATATGCCAAGTTTTCTATTTATGAAACGATAACTCAGTCTTATAAATTAATTCAGTTTAATAGCATATCAACGTGAAACGATATGTTATTGCAGTTATGAAAGAAGTTTTATGGAGATAATAATCACATTGTCAAAATTCGCAAAGACGACAACTTTATTATTAATGTACCTGTGTTTCATATTATGCGTAAAGAATACTCCTGTATAACTGAGATACTGATTTTCACTGAGTATCGATAATGGTACATAGACGCGATCAATTGAAATGCCGTTATTCCGGATCTGGCGTTTCTTTCGCAGCGTTTTGTTCCTCCTTTTCCTTGGCTTTTGCATCGGGAACCCATAGACCGCTATCAACGCAACGCTTCATGTGATATGTTGCCTCTTCCTCCGACATCGCGGCTATCGTTTGTTGCAACAAAGGGATATCTTGCGCTTCAAAGCATTTTTGTAAAGACTGAAACAGAAAGCGATGGAATAAGAAAAAAAAGGAAACTCTCTAATATATAAGCTTTTATGTTATAAGCCAAATTTTTATTTACCTCTGGAAGAGTTTCGAATACTTCGACTGGATCAAGTCCCCCAGGACCCAAACGAGCCTTCCTCTCATCCTCCTCGGCCTCTCTAATCGCATCAGCCACTTTTTCTGCTGCTCTCTTGCGTATTCTATCCTTAAATGCTCTCAATTCATCGTCAAAGGAATTTTTGTATTCTACTTCAGCAATTTGAATACGACTGAAAAAGGATCCGACACATGCGCGCGGGTCAACATCCAATTGCTTAGATAGCTCCAATATGTATTGCATACATATACATTGATGAGCAACATGCTCCATCAAATCGTGTTTCTGAAAATACATGATGAATATTGTAATACAGAATTAATCGTAATTATTAAATGTTAAAAAAAATGATCTGTTGCAGGACCACTTACTTCTTCCATTTCTAAATTAATGCACCAGATGACTAAATAATTTGCTGTATTCTCGCAAACTAAATGTGGATAGTCTTGCAAGAATTTCTTACTGTCATCGTATTTCCTTAGCATGCCAAATTCTTTCAACTTTTTCTCGTTTTCTTTAACAAATTGCTTCATTCGTTTCTCCTTTTCTTCATCAGATAAAGCATCATCATCCTTCCTAGGAGGTTTTGTATTTATCACAGTTTTTGTAAAACCATCTTGGCCAATGGTATCTACATTCCAAGGTGTCAATCTCTCTTTCTTTTTCATTTCCTCTTCCTTCTCTTTAATTTTTTTCTCTTCTTCTTCAAGATCTTGGAGAACCTTTTTCAACGTAGTTAAATCAGCTGAATCTTTCTGTTTGCTTTCTAATTTAGCTAACTTTTCTTTTGTATCCTTTAATTTCTGTAACGTTCTAAAATAATGAATAAAATATAAATTAACTTAATTTTATAAAAAGAATATTTCATTCATACAACAAATGTCATTTCATACTCTGCTTTTTTTCTCATATGTTCCTCCTGTTCTTTCTTACGTTCTTCCATTCTCTCAACCCGTGCCTGATGACGCCATCTGAATAAGGATGGGGTGTCGATGTTTGGATGTGTATCATCTTCGTCATCTGAAATCTGACAAGAACAACAATATTAATCAACACAAAATTACATTTCCATGTGTAAAATCTAAATACATATACAATGTTATTGTTTTTGTTTAACATACAATTATATAATTATAAAAAAATTAGATATTAATCAAAAAACTAAGTAATTTGCAATATTTGATAGCACATTAAAATCTCTATAACAAATCATTTAGAATATTTTATTTTATATTTTTGCGGTAAATATATAACTCTGAATTTCTGAATCATATAATAATTGACGTTTCAGCAGTAATGTAATAAAGTAACTTCCGGCACAAAAAGTTGTACATAGCCGGCAAGATTCAATCCCTAGTCTGGAATATTCCAGAGCGCTGGATCCAGAGAATGAGCGACACATCCTTACTTCGATGTTCTTCCATTTGCTGTAATCCACCATCGTAGCGCCTGGATATACCAGTCGTCGTTCGTAGAGTTGCTCTTCGTATTCCTTCAGTTGCACGAATTTTTCTTTTTTTTTTTTTTCTTACCGCGAATATCGCGCACGAAAACCTCAAATTACTATTTTTTTCGCTTTCGTGAGAGCGCCAATCCTTGGATCGCACTTGCCAAACTTTGATTGTCAGTTGCACGACGACTCCGCCATCCTGAACTTTGGACCCATTATAATTGTCGAGCGGGATAAAAGATGTCGTGTCGGTACCAATCGATGATTTACATACACGAGACACTATCTAGATCCATTTTGAAAATTCGTAACCATAGTAGATTGCGATTGCCGTGATGGCGGGCTGAATCAAAGAACTGAAATAAAGATAACAAATAAATAGAATAAATAATTAATTAATTACACATTTGATAATTTTTCTATATACCTTGGTATTTTGTTAAATCTACTTTTGCAGACTTTATGTAAGAATCTTCAAAGAATCATTTCAAGATAAAGGTTATGACACAACGAATGATAATTTATAGTATAGTTTTTTCAATATTTTAAGTGTAATTTGTACTGTGAAAAAATGATTGGAATGAGAATGAATGCGTTTAATGATACTGGTCTTGGAGAACCCGAACAAGATGCAAATACAGCGCTTATAGAGCTTGATAAAGGTTTGTTTTTATTATCAATTTTCTGGTCTTTAGTATATAAATGTTTATAGATAAAATATAATAGCAATATTAATTTTTTGGCAAATAATAGTAATATTAATAACTAATTAAATATTATAGTGTATACACACATGTATATATATAATTGACTTATAATATAAATATCAATTTCAATATGGTTGTAGGTTTACGTTCTACTAAAACTGGAGAACAATGCGAAGCTATAGTACGTTTTCCTAGATTGTTTGAAAAGTATCCATTTCCAATATTGATAAATTCGTCTCTTTTGAAATTGGCTGAAGTATTTCGCACTGGCAGTAATTTTTTACGAGTATGGGTCCTAAGGGTGTGTCAGCAGAGCGAAAAGCATCTTGATAAAATCTTGAATGTGGATGAATTTGTAAGGCGTATCTACAGTGTTATACATTCAAATGATCCAGTTGCTAGGGCCCTTACTTTGCGTACATTAGGCAGTGTAGCTGGTATTATTCCTGAAAGACAACAAGTAATACACATTTAACTATTCAATAAAAAATATAAATGCATGTAAATTTAGCTTTATAAAAGTAATAAAATTATTAATTATTATCACAAGGTACACCATAGTATAAGAAGATCCTTGGATTCTCATGATTCAGTTGAAGTAGAAGCTGCAATATATGCTGCCCAAATGTTTGCAGCACAGTCTAAGTTGTTCGCTGTATCAATGTGCAGTAAGATTTCCGATATGATTAGAGGTCAAGCTACACCCGCCTCGATGAAATTGCAGCTTATACCAATTCTACAATACATGCATCATGACATTTTTACAGCATCAATGGTATATAATACTGTTTATGTGCATTTTAGAATGTGTTTCATATATTTTATATGCTTCATAATATAATTTCAATATAAATATATATACAGATATATATATATTATTATATTATTATATTATTATATTGAAGGTAAATGAATTATGTATGGAGCTCCTTGCAAGTTATCCAGCAGCTGAATTTGTTAGAGTCACTCTGAGTGCACTAAGTACACTGGCCTCTGCAACATTAATAGATGTGCCACAACAGGTTGTGTTATTATTACGCTATTTGCAAGATGATCCGAGATTGTCCGTAAAACGTCACGCCTTACATCTTCTGCATAGTTTAGCGAGAAGAGGAGCGCATCTCTGGCCGCAGGGTGCTCTTAGTAATTTAATTGGTACAGATACTTGTAATATACTTGCATTTATGTATACTGATATTTGTATAAATGATATAATTAGTATCTAATAATTCACAGAGAGTACCACGACACTTTTGCAAGATGGTGCAGGACATACAGATCTTCTTATACGCACTTTAGATGTAATTGAGGTCAGTTAAATCAATAAAGATCACATTCAGTTGCAAAAATTTACAATATATGTATTCTTATATACAGGGTGTCCCCAATTTAAATGTCAAAACTTTAGGAGCGTGTAGGGGACCGATAAACTAAGACAAACAGTCCTTTAGAGATTTGCTCGTTTTTGCTTCGTTTTGAAGAAAATCGCAAAAAATGAAACAAATAATTTTCACCAAAAAACTTAAAACAACACTAAAATTATTAGATTTATCAAAAAGTATTATGAAATAAAAATTGTAGAACATCGAATTAAGAAAAGAGAGTGAGTTTAAATCCTCCAGAGGTAAAATTAGATTAGAAAAAAAATTTCGCGTTGTCGCGTATTTATCTACAATCCTCTAATTGTACCTCAGGAGGATTTTAACTCACTCTCTTTTCTTAATTCCATGTTCTACAATTTTTATTTTATAATACTTTTTGATAAATCTAATAATTTTAGTGTTGTTTTAAGTTTTTTAGTGAAAATTATTTGTTTCATTTTTTACGATTTTCTTCAAAACGAAGCAAAAACGAGCAAATCTCTAAAGGACTGTTTGTCTTAGTTTATCGGTCCCCTACACGCTCCTAAAATTTTGACATTTGAATTGGGAACACCCTGTATATAGGCCAATATTATATAGATAGGCTAATTCGCGGTAATACTCGCGCAAAATGGCCTATCTTTTTTAATTAATTTCTCAATAATTATTACGAAAATCGCAAAATGGAACAGGATTTTTTTTTCAGTTTGACCCAATCTACCTTCACCTTTTGTTTGGTCACTTACTTGTCGGACACCCTATATATATGTATATATAGGTGTATCATTTTAAGTGATGCAGCTGAATATCTTTTAAAGTAAAAGAGATTGGGAAAAATGTTTCAGACAAAAGTTGCATGATTTCGAGGGGGCCACATGATAAAAATATGGACTTGACCTTGAGAGACCTTTTCAAGGTGAGGTCAATGTGATCGATGTTTTCTTTGGTTAACCCCGCATTTTTTATTGCATATTCTTGTAGCTTATCTCGAGAGCTTTTCAAAACACTATAATAAAGTATTTTTTCATTAAGTACTTTTTGAGTTATTTTAGATCTTAATCTGACATATTTTGATATAAAAAATAAAATATCTCGTAAAATATTTAGTTTCCGATAATCTTACCGTAACACTTTTATGTACAGAATAATGAGACAAATCAATTAGTAAAAAAAAAAATAATTGTTTTTAAGAAAAAATATGTAATTATTTACAATGTATTTTTTAAAACAACTATTTGTTTTTTTCTTTACACTAA